TACCGCTTCAACAAAGCGCGGCATCTCTTCAGTCTCAGGTCCATTAGACGAGCATTCAAACGATGTCCTGTTTTTCTTCGATATGCCCGAAGCCCTAAGTCTTCATTTAACACCCTTTTCACCGTGGTTCTGCTTAACCCCATCTGAAGGGCCAACAGTTTCTGCTTACGTTTGGGATTTCTTTGAATTCGCGCCTTCACAGCTTTTATCACTGCTGGAGTCCTAACAGACCGAGGGCGACCACTTCTTGACCTGTCATCTACACTAGAGTCTTCATTGTATCGTTTGATGGTACGATAAACGAATCTTTTGGTTATATTCAAATTTTTCAGTATGTTAAAAATTTGAATTGGCGCGTAACCGCAACGATGCAACGCAATAACTGCAACACGGTCTCTTTAAGCGTCCACTCCATATTTAAAAATGAGTAAAATTCTAAAAGTATACATTTTTATTTTCATGAACAATTCGAAATTCGAATTCAATAAACTTTTTTGTGGCCAGCATTCTAAAAGAAAAGTTTTTACTGTGTGACAATACTTATGACCTGACTAGGTATATATTAAGTAGATTAAATTAGAATGCAATAAATAAATACAGATTATAAATAATATGCTGATGTTGTTTTAATCATAACAGAACATACACGAATTAAAAAATATATTTTGTTAAGCACTCATAAATGACACACCGTCCATCACATCACTTTCTTCAAAATGGCTAGTATTAGCGGTAGGAACTTCATCGTCATCATCATCATATGTGTCATGATTGAAATCATTTGCATATTCGGTATCATTGCATATCGGAGCATCACCAACATGAACAATAAATTCTTCAGTCACCGTGTCCGTCACATGATCACTTTTCCTATATTGCTCTTCTATTTTATACACTTTGTGGCACATTTTATTTCAATCAGTGGCTGCCACCAAATTGACTGTTTATTTGATGAGGTCGGTCACAGCTTTAAAGCTCCAACTAACGTTCTTGCTGCTAACATGAAAGTACAAATAGCTTACTAGAATAGTTTACTAGACTCAAGACAATGTTAATAGTTTGAATTAGACTGTGGCGGTAGCCATCACAGAACACAAGATAATTGACAGATGCCTAAATCTCATTTTCAAGATAAAGCGCATATATACAAGTTCCGAACAACAACATTCGGACCGTCGGTCTACCGAGCAATATCACCCGCTCGGTGGAAGATCTTCCCTTTGTCGTAAGCCCCAAACTGGTGACCCCGACGGAACAACTGCAGCCTTCATCATCAGCGCATCAAGAACTTCGGCTACCGCGATTCCCACATTCTTGCAGATAAAAACAAAGTCATCAACAGTCGTCCCACAGCAAGCCAGCATCGCAGCCTCAACAGGACCATCGCAGCCGACTCACCGCGCTTCCTGGTCCTACGGCACGCAACTTCACTGCCTCATCACGCCGCTACTGTTCATCGCAGCCCACGACCGGATCATCAACGCTTGGGGTCACACATCTCCGGCGTGGCAGCTCTGCATCACATGGACTACGCACGACACGCACGCAACATTCAAGCTCAATCTCGACCCACCGCAGACTTCGACCAGGACTGGCGACAATCACGCAGCATTCAGCTCAGTTTCGACTCACTGCAAACTTCGAGCAGCACTGGCGACACGCACGCAGCATTCAAGCTCAGTCTCGACTCACCGCAGGCTTCGAGCAGCACTGGCCCTTGCAAGCTAATCTCAGCACGGACAACGCTAATTAAAAATGATACGACCTCCAGTCTCGGAGGGGAGTGATGTGGCGAGTAGCCATCATACAACGCAAGATAATTGACAGATGCCTGAATCTCGCTTACGACATTTTCAAGATAAAGCGCATGTATACAAGTTCCAAACAACAACATTCCGTCGGTCTACCGAGCAATATCACCCGCTCGGTGGAAGATCTTCCCTTTGTCGTATATTCCCCAAATAGACCTTCATAAATATGTACCTACATCCAATTAAACTTTAATGCACAAATCTATTTAAATACAAAGTAATGATATAAATATGTATAAACTTTGGCATATATATAATTTAGCATAATATATATGCTGAGCTATGTATTAATAGCTTATATTCTAAATAACTTAAACTATCGAGAAAAATCAGATACCTTCTGGACCAAGAAAACCAATACTACCCATCTAATATCAGAAGCTCTCAACATTTTCGATCGACAGCGAGGCGGACCGTGGTGATTTGATTCAAAGTGATAATGCAGCTTCAACTTTCAAAGCTTACAATATTTAACAGCGGTTCAAGCGTTTGTTTCGTCTGACATACGCGGAATTGCTTGTGTTAGAAGGAAACAAGTGTCACAGTATGCCGCGAGCGTGCGTTCGGCGCCGGTCGGCTAGCTTCGGCTCGTCACCGGACCCGATGCGGTGTAGTGCGCTGTGCGACTGCGATGTATTATCTGTGGGTGAATAGGTGAATTAGTAGAAGGCTGCCGGCCGTCGCTTGCTGGAGCTTTTGTTTGCTATATTCGTACTATCGGAGTGTTAGTTTTTGTTTTGAATTGAGCTTAACTTTCAATGAGATATTTTTGTCACCGTTACATACCGGTTCATGTATGTGCGCGAAATTATCGAGTATCTTTTAGCACAATGAACAATCCACGATTAGTTGAGCTTTAATACGAGAGAGAGCTTTGTTTCCACGCAATGCTTGTGTCCGTTTATGTGAATTAGATCTGGAATGATGCCACCTCTCCGAGTGGCCTGGGTAGTTTGCACTATACTTTTGTGTCCTTCGTCTGGCCTGGAAGCAGCGGCGCAGTCTGAGAGCGTCGAGGCCCGAAGCTCAACACCAGTCGCAGGTGAGTGATTTCAAACGAAGTCATAGTAAAATAACAGTGCTGACCGGGTCCTTCAGTACCATTTGTTCTCAGCTGAAAGAAAAGTTTATAACACTGCAGGTACATCATGTAGTGAAGGGTCAGTGGCATGACAGAGCGCCGCCCCGTCGCGACGGGCCAAGCCATCTACCTGTTGAAAACATAATATATTATCAAGAATACAATAATAAATAACTCTTACTTACAGAAAGCCACTCATAAAAACTAGTAAGATAAAATCTTTCAGAAAATAATTAGGAAGTGAATTTGTATAAACGATCATTTATCACGTTATATGAACGTGCCCTAAAGGATAGGAGGTCTAGAAACTAATGCGTTCTTCAATTATGTTCGTGAATATCTTCCACGATCAAGGAATAACATCTTGCAAGCAAATTAATCTCGCCAAATTACAATTTGCGTAACTTCTGGTCGGACGACTTGTGCGCCCGCACGGATAGGTACCACCACCACGACTATGTCTTCCGCGAAGCAATGTGTTCCGGTCGCGTGGGATGGAAGGCAGTTGTACTTGAGACTTAGACCTCATGTCTCAAGGAGGGAGGACGGCGTCCGCGTATTGAAGTCTATGGGGTTTGGTAGCTTCTTAATATGTATTAAGTAGACCTGAACTAGTTCACCCGGCTTTCCAATGCAATGATAATATTTTCCAATTTCGTTTTATGACACCCTTCTTAGATTTATCTATCGATTTAGATTTTTTTGGTGCCTTTATTTATAGGCAGACAATATTTCATGATGATAACTGGTTATTGACATCCGCAGACATGGACGAGGTGGTCAGGGCCTAGCCTGAAACGCGAAATCGAAGTTTAACATTTCAATATAATACTAACGATAATAAAAACCGCGAATAAATCACGCACGGTTACCCGGCCCCAAATTACGATTCCCCGAGTCAAGCGAACCAGATACTTACATACACGTTTAAATATATACATAATTATATAGATAATAAATACCCAAACAAAGCGCCAAAAACCTGATCACCACACACACTAATGTTTGCTCGATGTGGGAATCGAACCCACTACCAATGACTCCTATCCAACCCTTCAAAGCCTTTTTACACAATAAGCTTATACTTATTTAAACGATTTCCACAACCAAATATGAATAAAAGCATCGGGAAAATAATCATTTTGTAATAATAAAAGTAATTGTATCACTACGTCCACCAACAGAGACACAAATCAGGTTTTTGAGTATATCATTTAACGAACTCATAACTGCAGCTGTTCACCAAGTGGACTGGGTATACTGTGTGTGTCCAGCGAGTCTCCGGGGAGCGCGGCATCACCAGCGCCGCGTCGGGAGACCACACAGTCGGCAATCCCGGGGTAGGGCGCGCGGACACCCGACAAACCTATAATGTAGCGGTTACTTATGCCTCACTACTTCATTACAGATCATTACTAATTAACCACTTACGTTTACATTAGATAGATCATAGACATAATGGACACAATAGGCATTAATTAGATAAGTAAATATCGCGATATAAATTGTACATTTCGTAAACAAGCACGCCAGTGTGGACCGTAATATTGTTTGTAAACTTCATACTGATAGTTGGGAGCTGTCTACATAACGCTACCATATGTTTACGCCGTAATAATACTCGTTTAACTTAATATAAATACGTAAACTGTCAATGGTTTGCATTTAGACCCCCGTAAGAATAACATAGGGATGAGAGTGAGTTCATTTGCTGAAGATGTTCATTGTGCTAAACATTTCTGGAAGCCCTTCCCTCGACCGCAGACTAAAAATGAACTTTAATGTATAACTTCTCCAGAAGAAACTTTTAACCGGAATCCACTGCACTGGCGAAAATAACGTAATGATTCAAGTTGATTGCCCATGCGTACCTTCATACTCGATCTTGTGAGTTTTGAAGTTAATGCCCGAGTGTGGGCGAGTGTATTGGAACCTCTGTAAAGGTGCATCAGAAATGTGATGCGTTGAATGCTTGCTCGCCTTCGCATATACATTAAATTAACATTAAAAAAAGAAGTGAACTCGAAAAATTGATATTGCAAGAAGTGATGTAATCGCAAATAGGTATATTACAATATGAAACATAGTGCATAGTATGAGTGTGTGTGTGTGTGTGTGTGTGAAGACGCGCCGTGCACCGAGCCGCCGGACACTTGGACTAGTTTCTGCACTTCTATAATTACCCCGCGGCGTGGCGGTGTGGCGGCGTGGCTGCGTGGCGGCGTGGCGGTGGCGTGGCGGCGTGGCGGCGTTGTGCTGGTTGCTCTGCGCGCAGTGCCATCCGGACTGAGCGCTGCTGCACCTTGCTGTCTATCAAACAAATACTTTACTTCCTACGCGTGTCCTTACAAAGAGCAAAAACGAAGGCCCAAACCTGAACTGGCTGGTGGCATATTGTCAATTTAATAGCAACAGGGTTTGCGATAAAGTGTATCTCTAAATATACATATAACATGTACAACTTATACTTGTAACGATCGTCCGCGACCACACAAACTGTCAAGTAGTCGAAAGTCGGAAATAATAATTGGTGCCGGCAGCCATCATTAGAACACAAGATATGTATTTGACATATGCCTGAATCACGCTAACGAGATTTTCAAGATAAGCATATACTTATAGAAGTTCCGAAAAATATCATTAGAACCATCTTCTGTCGAACAATTTCAGCTACTCGATGGAAGGTCTTCCCTTTGTCGTTACATTCCAAAGTTATATCCAAGATTCGTGAAAACCGAAGTAAATACAACGATACGAACGTTAGGTATTACTTAAACCTTAATACACTTTTAATGTTTATGAAAATGTCACTTAAAGTACAGATTCATGATGAAGAATTCCTTCCGACTCTACTCTCAGTACGACAATACTATAATAGTATTGTCATTAACTATGCCTATAACATTGCCGATAACGAGCAACACTACATTATATCTTTGAAATTATACAACTATGGTGAAATGAAATAAAATCATTTCATTTCGTTCCGTTTCCCTTTCCAGATATTATGCATGGCCTCCGGGCTTGTTCCCAACAGATTTGTCTATACGAGTATAGGCAGCCTCCCGTACACGCGCGCCTGTCCCGTGCACGGACGGACAAGTTCGAGTAAACAACTATTAATTTTAAAGCGAATTCTAAGATATGTTTCTTCTTCTTGAACTAGAGACCGCAGACCGCTGAGTGGAGGTCGACTCCGCGCATTTCTGTTTCTTTTTATCTAGAATGTTTTAGTGTTTTAATAAAGTTGTTGATTTCTGAATAAATTCGTTATGACGCAGCGTCTGTTGCTGTCTGTCAGGAAGCAACCAACGCCAACCGACTGGTCAGCTGATCTTTGTTTATTCAGAGTACCGAAAACATTTTCCTAGTATAGCATAGAGTTTACTAACTAGCCCTTACTAATAATACCTATGTATGGTTTAATATTAATTATTACACTGCGGCAACAGTGAGTCTGCCCAGGTTGTTAGGACCATATAGTGTACGAGTGTAACAGCTAGGCGAAAAAATTCTGATCTCCAGTAAAAGTTGACGGCCATGACCGTAAAGTACACCGTCTAATTCAGACAGTCAACACTGAGCCGTCCGCGCTCGTGTGACGCTACGCTGCGGACGAACCACAGCCCGGGCACGGAGGTCAGCTTGTCACTGCTGAGAGACTTTTGCCTCCAGAATCTTGTATAGCACTCCGCCGACTCGCATGCCGCCTTAAAGGAGATCGGTGGAATGGACCCATCCGGACCATAACGGTGCGACGCGACTGCTGCAGTAGACCGCACATCCACAGGGTCTAGCTATTACTGAGCGCCACGTCCAGGCTCAATCTTCTAATCCGGACGATGACTCTTTTCGCGACACAAAATTCGTTGTGCCCCCATCGACCGCGAGGCGCGTCACCCACGGACAGACCTCACGCCGGTACAGAAACAAACGTACCCACCGAGCTCGTGTGTGTGTGTGTGCACGTGCCGAGAGTGCACACAGCGGCGGCCCGAGCCCCCTCACTGCGTCACCGCGACTATTAGTCTGCCGAACTGAGTGATTACTGTTCGCAGCCGGAGAGGAAGCGGTTAAGTGGTATGCGGGCCCATGCCGCAGCTCTCGACAGATGCGCACTCTATTTACGAAAGGTACATTTATATTTAGCTGTTAGAGTGACCTCGTAGTAATTGATTAAACTATTTTATAACCTAGCCATTCGGTAATAAGCGCTAACCGTTGGGCGCACGGATGAGCATGGAGAGATGGAATGCTGAGCCGTGTCTCTGCTGCTAAGAGGTCTATTTAAGTCTAGAACACGATGTAACTTTGCAGTAATGGTACACGGGCATGCTGTCGCAAGGATACTGACAGAGATACAGCCGCCTCTGCCTCGTTCTCTGTCACAGATACCAGATCAGCTTTTGCTATTGTCCTCAGCAGACAATATCACATTCTATTAAATTTCTAATACACCTGACTTACAAGAGGAAAGTAGCCACTCTTTTTATTTTTTTATTGCTTAGAAGTATGGACGAGCTCACGGCTCACCTGATGCTAAGTGATTGATTTCTGGAGCCCATAGACATCTACAAAATAAATGCCGCCACTCACCCCGAGACATGAGTTGTAAGGTCTCACTTTTAACTACGGCTGCCCTGCCCTTCAAACCGAAACGCATTACTGCTTCACCTACCTACCCGTGCGGACTAACAAGACTTCCTACCACCAGTAATTACGAAAATTATAATTTTGCGGGTTTGATTTTTATTACACGATGTTATTCCTTCACCGTGGAAGTCAATCGTGAACATTTGTTAATCAGATATTTTATTGGAAAAATTTATACCTGCCGGTGGGATTCGAACATACGAATGCACCGGACGTCTTATTGTTTAGACCACGACGACTTCGAAACTTCCCTAAACTTCACTTAACGTTCAGCCACGACGCGAGAGACGCCTCACGTGCCGTGGGACTGCTCGTACAATAACTCAAATGAAATACGCGTCCCGTTCTGCAGCATGAGAGAGTCGCTAGTTCACTGCTACTGTAATATTATACCTCCGGGGCTGTCGGCGGCGTTCACGCCCCGCTCACTGAGCTCGTCGTCTAACCTAATACAATTTTACATTAAGGCTGTACGGTTAGAAACTAGTTGGAGTATATGAGTCTAGCTATCAAGGAGTGACATCAGTGAGGAATGACCGTCAGAGTTCCGTCAAGGGGGGACGACCTATTGATAACGAGGTTATCTACAGAGACGCGCTACCTCTCGCCGATGTACTCCACGACGCTTGCACTCACTCAATAATCTTGAAATGTCACATATTAAGAGTTGAATGTACTCCACTAGACTGCTCGCAAGTGAGAGTCGGTGGAGGTGTGTACGAGGGAGACGGGCGGGCTGCTCCCTGTCAGAGAGAGAAAATATACTTTATTGCACACCAAAACACAATTAACATTTAAAAAACGTTGTCAACAAGCAGATACATTTGTTCAATTGGCGGTCTTATTATTAAAAGCGATCTCTTCCAGACAATCGCTTTATTTATAGAAATTCTGCAGCAGCGATTAATAATGTACCTACATTATTAATGAAAATACACATACAATAAATATACCTGTTTACATATACTCGTATGATTTATATACCAATATACGATACTTCGACCTGATGTCCCAAAGTGTAGATAGAGGTCGACGCGGCCAGGTCGCAGAGCTAGTGCAGCCTGCAGCGGACGCGCGTCCGGTCCCCCGGGGGCGGAGCGCGGGCGTCTGCAGAGTCGTAGCGTAGGTACAACAAAGCCATTACGACTTCAAAGTAAACAGATGCTCCATTGCGGGTCCATGCGCGCCCCTCGAGGGACCAATGCTACGCGCGGGAGCGGTGACCGACACGACTGATTCGTACACTCATTGTCAGCGTTTTCTTTTTGTTAAGAATACAATCAGAACTTCACAGTAACACAACACAGTTCAACTGACCTGAACAACTGACTATTACCCACAGACACAACCTACTGAGTTTCTCAATGGGTCGCGTTTCCGGTCCGGTGGTAGATTCTGCGAAGCACTGCTCTTGCTAGGGTCAGTGTTAGCATCACTCCGGTTTGAGCCCCGTGAGCTCACCTACTAGTTAAGGTTACGCTGAAATAGCCTCTCAAGGCTATCAGATTAGGTAGGAGAAAAAAACTGACTATATATACATACATATGTAGCTATAACGAACATATATACAACTCATACTTTCACTAAATTGTATTGAATGACAAATAATAATCCGCGTTTGAGGGCAGTGAGGTGAGGGCCAGGCGGCCGCTGCAGCAGCACGCGCGGTGCAACAGTCGCGAGGGGCCGCGTCTTCTCGTCGAAGTTATTCATTCCAACCGTGACCTTAGCTTGATAACCTTTTATCAAACTTATCTTGACACAAGCCGAGGTCCCTCCAGCCTTCGTCGCCGCGCCGTAATAAGCTCTATTAACCCTCTCACATGAAATCAAATAAAATAATAATATAGTTTTATTTTTGGCTGTATAGGTTACTGTGGATAGATGAACGAGCTCACGGCCCACCTGGTGTAGTGCATAGATATCACAACGTGCTGTCTACCAACGCGTGTAGATGCAGGCAAGAGATCTAAGTCTCAGTTGTATTGAACCAGGGCGTCGTGGTAGGGACAACTGATAGTTTGAAGTCCGCCTCACATCCGCCGCACACACGTCCAACTAAGTCTAACCGTCACGTTGTACGAATGAGTAGAGAATGGGGACACATGGCCTCCATCACATCACCTAACATCGTGTGGGTCAATCCATAGTTTGCTCTTTTGGGCAAACCGCAATGTGATAACAGTATACAAGGACCGTATATTTCTCGAGACGCACTGTTGACTGACTCACTGTGAGCTAGAACAATATGCGAGTGAACAGTCTCCGTGACCAGTGATGGATTTAGGCTGGATGCCACCCTGGGCCCTGTTTATCGCGCCGCCCTTAATGTTACAATAAATTTTATTAATTTTGAACCAATATTTTAATTTTAAATTAAGAATAACTTTATTTTTTATATTATGAAAATTAACCTGAACTAATTTTCCACGGAGACTGTCTTTACTTTTTTTTCGTCACTGACATTGTGGCATTTCGAAAACTTTGTCGGCTCTCAAATAATGCCGCCCCAGGCCCGGGCCTCACGAGCCTAGGCGTAAGTCCAGCGTTGCTGGTGACGGATGACCAGGTACTGTGCGCAATAAAGTTGACAGGTTCTAGCCGCGGCAAGTAACACAATACTAATGACACCGGTTACAACTGCAACATTCTTGACCACGTGTTGTCGTTGGCGAGCAGCGCGCTGAGTCGATGTGTTCGTTCGCAGGCGGGGCGGCGGCGGTGCGGGGCTGCGGCGAGGGCGAGTGGCGGTGCGCGGATGGAGCGCGCTGCGTGCCGCGGGCGTGGCGCTGCGACGGGCGCCCGCACTGCGCCGACGGATCCGACGAGCTGGACTGCAGTCAGTGTTGCAACTCTACCTGCTCTACCAACTCTACCTGCTCTAGCTGCTCTACATACTCTACCTGCTCTACCTGCTCTACCTGCTCTACCTACTCTACCTGCTCTACCTGATCTACCTGCATTACCTGATCTACCTGCTCTACCTGCTCTACCTTCGACCCTCACCCTTTCTTTCTAATTCGTAATTATTTGTTCAATGGAACCCACAACACAACGATCGAGTTATATGTACTGTTAAAAAAAGTCAATTTGTGATTTTCTCACAGTCTTCGATTGTTGAACGAGTTCACAGTTCACCTGGTGCTAAGTGGTACTGGAACCTAAAACACTCTGAGTTAAATGTGGTTTCAAAAACAAAATTAGAGAAAAAATAGGAGTAGGGACAGCAGGAACAGTAGGTAATGGTTGGAGAAGTTAATTGAGGAGAAGTACAATAACTCGACTCTTGCCAAGCGACCCCGCGCCGGCCTGTCTCCACGGTCGGCGACAGAGTGGCCCGCCCAGCGCTCGGCCCTCACTCAACCGTGCTTGTAGCTGCATGAGAGTGCCCCCCACATCCCGTCCGCTGCGAGCGGGGAACCGTTTCTAACTCATGCTGTTACGAAAATGCCAATGTGATTCTGTGTGCTGTACCGATGTTGGCGTTATGTTTCCAGCGTGGAACACGACATGCCGCGAGGGTCAGTTCCGCTGCGCCACGAGCGGGCTGTGCATCGCGGCGAGCTGGCGCTGTGACGGCGACGCGGACTGCGGGCCGCGGGACAACTCCGACGAGGACCCATACATGTGTACTCTAATTATCCTTCTTATTGTGGCGCGCTCACTTTGTGCTAAGTAGAATCGTTAACCCACTGGCCCAGATTTAGCAAAATTTTTATTAACGCCTATCAGCAATGTGAAACATATGTGCAGGTTAAGGCCGCAACTATAACGTTTGTCTCCGTAGGAACCAAAAGTGAAGTGGCCAGTAGCCAGTAGAGGATAGATAAAGCTTATAGCTCTTCCCAAGACATTATTAAAATACTGTTGTCACTTGAGTATATTTATATTCCTACATCAAATGACACGCCGTGGAAGCCTTGTTTCATTCTTGAAAACGAATGTGGCTTTTTTTTATTGCCCTTGTAGGCAGACGAGCACACGGTCCACCTGATGGTGAGTGGTTACCGTCACCCATGGACTTCAGCAATGCCAGGGGCAGAGTTAAGCCACTGCCTACAGACTACTGGCTGATGATAATAAATATACTCGTAACAAATGATGTGAGCTCTGGAGCAGCCATTGTTCACTCGTTCGTCAGCTTGGTGCTGCGGGCATTGCGCACACGAGTCCCGGCCGGAGGGCAGGGACTCTTGCCGCCTTTAAACCAAGCGTGTGTTCTACTGGTCCTAGGTGAGAAAGACTTCAAATGTCGCGGTAACTGGGCTCGGTGTGCCACTCCCGTGGGAGGGCAGTTCTCGTGCGTGCCCATCGTGCAGTTCTGTGACGGAGAGCGACACTGCGCCGACGGCAGCGACGAGTGGGACATCTGCGATAACTGTACGTATCTAATGGACACACACGAGCTTGTGGTGAGCCGTGGGGGAATGTGTTGTGGGAGCAACTGGTGGAGACAAGTTAAAAGTGCTCTACCAGACAGAGACTTACAGACTGAAATCGACTGTCTATTTTATGATTGCAAGACTCCTTGGCGCGTGGTGTATCTATTAAAATTTTACGCTTCTAAATCGTTACTTAAATAGGACTACTCCTGTAGCACTACTAGCTGTGTAACTGAGTGAGCATATTGCCTGTGGTCTCAACTCAATCAATTGAGAGCCTGAATAATAACAAAATATGACAGTGAGCACAGCTCCCTGATTGGGTGGTATGACAAAACTAAATTAAAATTGTTGAAATCATCATCTATCAATCATCATCATTTTTCAGTCACGGTATCTAGCTGCGCGCCCCTCCGCTGCGAATTGGGCTGTCGGCCCACTCACGACGGGCTGGCCTGCTACTGTAAGCCGGGGTACGAGCAGAGAGAGGGGAAGTGCGCCGGTTAGTATTCCTAGTATATTAATTAAAGAAATTAAGAAAAACAAATAATTAATTTTTTTATTTTTTTATTTTTTATTGCTTAGATGGATGGACGAGCTCACAGCCCACCTGGTGTTAAGTGGTTACTGGAGCCCATAGACATCTACAACGTAAATGCGCCACCCACCTTGAGATATAAGTTCTAAGATCTCAGTATAGTTACAACGGCTACCCCACCCTTCGAACCGAAACGCATTACTGCTTCACGGCGGAAATAGGCGGGGTGGTGGTACCTACCCGTGCGGACTCCCAAGAGGTCCTACCACCAGTAGGACCAATATAAGTATTTTAGACCCCGGAATTTACTCATACAAATGTCGATGCTCATACATATATTTGCCTCTCTATTACAGCAAACAAACAGTTTTTTTTTAAATTCTGACACATTCTCCAAACAACACACATATTGTTACGGGAGTAACTTATGTGCTTAGATTAAAACGTTGACATCTCATTCTCTCTCGCTTTCTCTCTCTAAATGAATTTTACTGGTGGTAGGACCTTTTGTGAGTCCGCACGGGTAGGTACCACCGCCCTGCCTATTTCTGCCGTGAAGCAGTAATGCGTTTCGGTTTGAAGGGTGGGGCAGCCGTCGTTACTATACTTGAGACCTTCGAACTTATATTTCAAGGTGTGTTGCGCATTTACGTTGTAGATGTCTATGGGCTCCAGTAACCACTTAACACCAAGTGGGCTGTGAGCTCGTCCACCGATCTAAGCAATAAAAAAAAAAGAAAAGAATTGTCCTGGCTGACTAAAGGGTTTTTGGAATATTTCAAACTTAGAGAGGTAACATATTTGATATGAGAATAAGGCATTAAATGGTAATTTTAACTAAGAAATGACACAATTAAATATCCAAAGTGGTCATAATCACAGATGTAAGCCGTTGTCGCCGTTATGTTGTCCACAGACACCGACGAGTGCCTCCTGGAGGAGTCGTGTGCGCAGCGCTGCGCCAACACTGCCGGGTCGTATTCCTGCTCGTGCGGACCCGGGTTCGTGCTCGACCAAGACGGATTTTCCTGTTTAGCACTTAATGGTATGATACTACAGATTACTACAGAACAACACGTACAGTTGGACATTAGAGACTCCGGCTCAGGGTGCAAGGAGATTGTTTTCGAGCAGATGATGATCTTCATTAATACCCAAACTAAGTATAGTTGTTTCCCGCTGTTACACTGCGCCGTCGCGACCGGACGTGATCTACAAGTGCCCATTCTGTCCTGGCCGAGTTCATAACGGCAACTACTCTGTTTATTCGAAACAATGAGCAAGTAACACGCACAGATCCGGTGGGCGAGCCGATGTCCCTCATAGTGGCGACGCAGAGCGACGTGCGGCGGGTGTGGCCCGACGCCGCGCCGCCGTCCCGCCACGCCGCGCCACCGTCCCGCCACGCCGCGGTCACCGCGCTCGACGTGCGGGCCCTGCACTACAACTATGATAACAGGTCAGTCTTTCATCATTAAGGCTTAATGTCTCTGTCTATCTTTACGAAGTAAAGGTTTTGCTAAAGTTCTTTTATGATGTTGGCGCGATACCTGTAACCCAAACAAGCGCATTTAAAAAGTTGACTATTTGTTTGTTTGGGATAAGATTTGAAGCAGCATTCTCATTTACTCGGACAGGATTTAGCAGTAGAATAACTTCACAAATTCCGAACTAATAACTAAATTTTATACGATCAGGAAACAGACACACAGTTTACTAATTAATTAAATTATAAGGTCATAAGATGGCGACTTAGTGTCGGTTCTATACGACGCCGCGCGTGTATATCGGAGCGTAGAGAGAGAGGCGTGTCAATGTCTGCGACTCCTCAGGTCGATCTGCTTCGTGCATCACATCGTGTCCCGCTCGTCGCTGCTGTGCGTGGACGCAGACGACTTCTCCAAGAGGACGTNGACACACAGCTTACTAATTAATTAAATTATAAGGTCATAAGATGGCGACTTAGTGTCGGTTCTATACGACGCCGCGCGTGTATATCGGAGCGTAGAGAGAGAGGCGTGTCAATGTCTGCGACTCCTCAGGTCGATCTGCTTCGTGCATCACATCGTGTCCCGCTCGTCGCTGCTGTGCGTGGACGCAGACGACTTCTCCAAGAGGACGTATCTGCCCGACCCGGATTTCTTCCCGGACTTGGACAGTGAGTACTATCGATTTAATTACTGGTGAAGATTTTAAAGGGCCTCACCGCTAACGTCGGATGAGAAGTTGAAGGATTGTATTGAGCTCATCGTCTGGTCGTACAGCTGTGAACGCAGTGGCCGTGGACTGGGTGTCGGGGTCGTGGTACGTGTCGGACGGCGGGCGCGAGGCGCTGTACGTGTGCGCGCGGTCGCTGGCCCCGTGCCGGCTGCTGCTGGACGCCGCGCTCAGCAAGCTGCACGGGCTCGCGCTGGACCCGTCGCCGCCGGCCGGGTGAGCCGCGCTGCATCCCTACAGATGGACAGCTAACAAGTGAACGTGCTATACGTTACACGCATACGGCACCGGTGTTCGCAGGTACATGTTCTGGACGGTGTGGGGCGCGTCTCCGCCGGGAGTGTACCGCGCGTTGCTGTCGGGCGAGGGTCGTGTGGCGGTGGCCGCCCTCAAGTTGGTCTACCCCTCGGCCCTAACGCTGGACCCTGCCGAGCAGCATCTCTACTGGGTCGACACGTATCTCGAGTGCGTCGAGAGAACTGACTACGACGGACATAACAGGAAGACCATCCACAGGGGATATGTCGTGAGTCCTGTCTTCAATAACATCGTCCTGGCTATTACAATACAGTCAGATCGTGGCCACTTACGCGAGTTCAGCTTTCTGTTTTATATCGCTTTGGGCACGGACAGACCTACCATTTTTAAAGTTATACGTTTCTATGCATAATTTTCGTCTTACGTCATCAGACTGTGGAGTGATTTCCTCTCTCGTGTCTTGAGAATTATGATTTGTCAAATTTCTCTTGGAACGAAGTTCTAAATGGGTACGTGATAGCCGCTTGGTTGTGCGTCAGACATGGCCCACGCCCCTTATCCTAGAGAAAAATCCGCATTGTACGGTCCGCACCAGTGTCTGTCTTCGACGACAATTAGAAACACGAATGGTAACATGTTATGATCTCTCTAAAGTACACTATTGTCAGTGTCGTTGACACGTCTGAGTGTCATCTGGTGTCGCGTCGCCATGATTGCATTACAATTTCGCAGAGCCAAAGGCTGTCCCACATCGCGGTGTTCGAGTGGAGGCTGCTGCTGCCGATGTGGGGCAACAGGTCGGTGGTTGCGGTGTCGCGGTACAGCCGCCCGCACCCGCGCGAGGACACGCCGCTCGACGCGCGACCCACCGCCGTGCTCGTCTACCACCGACAGATACAACCCAAAGGTCAGTCGACCTACCCACCGCGTCACAAGGAAATGTATAATATTTGTTTCCAAGGCTATGATTGTCTCTTGTTTCCCAGAGTAGGAAACAACGTAGACTATGTATCGGTTCTGTCGGCAGCATGACGCAGCGCGGCCTCAGTCAGATAGCATACATTGGTTGAAAGAGAACTGCAAAACAAATATTGTACTAATGTTTGTGAGCTGACGAGTGCCTTCATTTTTATTATTATTCTTAGATCGGTGAACGAGCTCACTGCTCGCCCGGCGTTAAGTCTATGGGCATCACAACGACAATTTCGCCACTCAGTTTGACATATGAGGCTAAAGTCTTAGTTATATTGAGCCGCGAGCTCGTCCACCCACTTCCGCAACGGCAGACGGAACAGGTCTCGTGCCGCGTCGATATCGTGTCTGTGTCTCCAGTGCAACACCCGTGCGGCGTGCACAACGGCGGGTGCGCGCACATCTGCGTGTCGGGGTACCGCGGCGGCGCGCCGCACGCCCGCTGCCTGTGCGCGCACGGGTACCGCCGCGCCGGCCACGGAGACTGCCTGCGTTAGTATCCTGCTCCACTACCTGCTTACTGCTGCTACTTTCATCTGCTTAAATAGTTCTACTAATTTATCCATAGTCTGGAGTCTGGCTCTCTCCTCCACGAAGTCCTAGTTTAAATCAGCTTTGAAATAAAATGCATTACCCATGTCCTCGAGCGGCGGTCACTCGGAGGCTCGTTCGTCTGCTTTACAATCATAAAACGAAACCATAAAGATTAAAGAGACTAAATACACTATCTCAATTGATCCTTGGTTCTTACCACTCAATCGTATAATCAGGATACGTAATTACTGGACAATATCCTATAGATCTAAATGTGTGGTGTTTCAGGTGTCGAGTTGGAGAGCAACCTGGTGGTGTGCCGCGGGTCGCCTCCTATGGTGCAGGTGCTGGCGGTGGGGGCGGCGGGCGGAGAGGGCGCAGCCCCCGCGCTGCACGGCTCCCGGCCCGCCGCCGCGGACATCGACCTCGACCAGGGCTGGCTCTACTACTGCGATGTGCACAAGTACCTCACATACAATACCTTATATGAGCTTATACATTTCAGACACTCTACTAGAAACTCTGAATATTTATTAGAACGAAGTCTTGTCAATTTCGTGGTATTTCGGCTGGTAGTCTGGAAATATCTGGATTACTCTTTTTGTTTAAGATAAGACCGCCTTTCGTACTTTTTGTGTCAGTGCAGCCCACTCAGGCAATCGGTCGGTGAACAGGTACGAGATAGTGAGGCAGCGGCTGGACGGGTCGGGCCGGGAGGTGTTCCTGGGACAAAACGTCGACAACTGCGAGGGGATCGCCATCGACTGGATGGGTGAGGATCTTCTTACTATTTTTTTCGATACTGCCGGAGAGCCTATCACTTACCTGATTAAAGTCAAAGGTAAACTTCGCTCATTGACATCGGCTACCAAACTGAGCTCTTTTTAAATGCTTTCGGAAGTCTGTAGAACGTCGATAAGAAGTTGAACCTCGAGCTTGATGCGGTGGCGTCTGAAGGCTGAGTGCGTGGCCGACGTCTGATGTAATGATAATATATTTGTGTGACGTGGCAGCGCGCAACATATACTGGACGGATGACGCCCTGGGCCTGGTGTCGGTGGCGCGGCTGGAGGGCGGGGGGGCGCCGGCGGTGCTGGTGCGGGGGGTGCGGGCGCGCGCGGTGGCGCTGAGTCCGCGCGCGGGCGACATGTACTGGGCGGAGTGGTCGCCGGCGCCGCGCATACAGACGGCCCGGCTGGACGCGTCGCGGCGCCGGACGCTGGTCGCCGAGGACCTGCACTGGCCCAACGGGCTCGCCGTCGACCCCGACGACAACGCACTGTACTGGTCAGTTCCTTATATATGTACCTATATACTGCTGTAGGCGCCCATAAACATAATTCGACCGTAATTTACTTTGCATGGTTTTGGTAATATCATAAGCTATTTTATATATAAAAGGGTAAAGACAAATTCGTTGAGCACTATGTGCTCCTCTGTGTGCCAACCGATTCTCTTTTTCTTTCTTTCATTAGCTACTGACGAGGTTCAATGTTACAAAAAAATCTTTTTGAAGTATTCAGTAAATTATTTTTCCAATACGTCTACAATAAAAGAAAAGAGGAATTCATTTGAGGAACACTAGTGTATGTACATACGTACTCCAGGTGCGACACGTACTTGAACAAGATCGAGCGGCTGGTGCTGTCCTCGGGCACGCGGCAGCTGGTCGCCAGGAACACTCTGCAGACGCCCGTGCTGAAGCCGTACGGGCTCGCACTCCATGAAGGTAACACGGGCGGGCAGAATGCACTCACCGATCACAAAATATACTGCAGCTAAATCGTGGTGTTTCATCGTATCTAACACATTTTCTGCAATTGTGCACACAGAGTCCGTGATATGGAGCGAGCACGGGACGGGCGCGATACGCAAGCTGTCCCTGGGCAACGTCACGGTGATCCATCAGTTGCCTCCACCGCTTTACGACCTCAAAGTTGTCTCAAGTACTGCCAGGATAGGTAACATTCGATTTAATATTTTTTCGTTTCTTTTGTCACAGCTGAGCAGATCCACTCAGAGCCGCCTCCCAGTGCTCTATCCGACTGTCCGTGATGAAAGCGCTAAAAACGTCCATTGGACGAATATACTGGATGGATAGCTGTGTGTAATAAATCAGGAAATAAAATCGTATTTATTGGCTTCTAGGTAAGAACGCATGCTCGTTCAACAACGGCGGATGCTCGGAGCTGTGCCTGAGCATGGCGCGGGGGCGGGTGTGCGCGTGCGGGGGCGGGGGGCGGCTGGCGGCGGACGGCGCGTCCTGCCTCCCCCCCGCCGCGCCGCACAACGCCTCGCTCGCCCACAGCTGCCCCCCCGGACACTTCCACTGCGGACGAGGGTACGTCGCTGCGACTGCGACAACGACTATATACTTAGTCTGACCATAAATACTGTTACAATTAAAAATAAACAAAATATTACATTTGAATTTGGAATCTGTCATTTTTATATGATTGCTCATTGAGTTTTCTCATTTTGGCGCCAATACATTGTACAATATTTTGCGATATTAAAATGGAGTGGGGTGATAAAGAGAACCGAATCGCTGTGATTGCATTACACAAAGTAGGTATTGGAGCCAAATGCAATTTTTAAAACTCTCCATACGCTTGGTATTAGTAAAATGTTTGTGTACCGGGCTATTAATAGTTGCAATGAGACCTCCTCTGTTTGTGAAAGAAAAAGATCTGGCCGTCCACGTAGTGCTCGTACGAAAAAGGTGGTCAAAGCAGTAAGGGAAAGAATTTGAAGAAATCCTGTCCGAAAGCAAAAGATTTTATCTCGGGAGATGAAGATAGCTCCTAGAACCATGTCGCGTATTTTAAAAGATGACTTAGGACTTGCAGCCTATAAGAGACGTACTGGTCATTTCTTAACTGATAATTTAAAAGAGAATAGGGTGGTAAAATCGAAACAACTACTGAAGCGGTACACAAAGGGAGGTCATAGAAAAATTTTGTTTACGGATGAGAATTTTTTTACAATTGAGCAACATTTTAACATACAAAATGACGTATTTATGCTCAAAGCTCTAAGGAAGCTTCCCAATTAGTCGACAGAGTGCAACGTGGGCACTATCCGACTTCAGTGATGGTTTGGTGGGGTATTAGCTATGAAGGAGTGATTGAGCCATACGTTTGTGAAAAAGGTATCAAAACATCGGCACAAGTGTATCAAGATACCATTCTTGAGAAAGTAGTGAAGCCCCTTTACAACACCATGTTCAATAATCAAGAATGGTCCTTCCAGCAAGACTCGGCGCCAGGTCATAAAGCTCGGTCTACGCAGTCTTGTTTGGAAACGAACGTTTCGGACTTCATCAGAGCTGAAGACTGGCCGTCGTCTAGTCCCGATCTTAATCCGCTGGATTATGATTTATGGTCAGTTTTAGCGAGTACGGCTTGCTCTAAACGCCATGATAATTTGAAGTCCCTAAAACAATCCGTACGATTG